TACGTGGGACAGACAGGGCATAAAGCAGGGACAAGAACTTACTGCACACTTACTATTGGGTGGGCCATGCACTGGGTTTAGGGTTTCTAGCTGCCAATATGAAAAGCAAAACCTAATCAGATAAATATCAGTAGGTATAAATTTTAAATGGATGAATTGTCCAAGAAAAGCATACTTTTCTGCTAGGAATATGAGACATTTCTTCTGCTTCCTTCGGAATAGGAGAGGGCAGGGATATGGAAATCACACAGCTGCAACCAGATTCAGCAAAGGTGCCAGGAGGAAAATTCCTGATGGAAGAGTGGGGAACAGGCATGCCAACCTCAGAGTTCTTAGGAGATAAAGCAAAGGGGTGATTTGGGGGAAAGGCATGCATAGTCCCAAAGTCAGGACAGGTCTTCAGGTTTCTGCTCATCAGATGTGGGGTGCAGTGATTTCCTGAGAAAATATTTGTGCTTAACTAAACAAAATAATTGTTAGGTAACAGGTTTTTACAATAGTTGGAAAATATACACTAAATTAAATATATTAAATGAAACCTATGGTTCTTTAATGCTCTCTCTCACAATGATTTTTTTCCTATGACATTATTTTACCTATGTCAAAATACATGAAAAACAGCACCAATTTTTAAAATTTTTAATTGTGGTAAAATATACATAACATGAAATTTACCATCTTAGCCATTTTTAAGTGTACGGCTTGGTAGTGTTAAGTACATTCACATTGTTGTGCAACCAATCTCCAGAGCTCTTTCTGTCTTGCAAAACTGAAACTCTATACCCATTTAATAACACTTTCCTATTCCTCTCTCCTTCCAGCCCCTGGCAACCACCATTCTACTTTCTGTCTCTTTGAGTTTGAATATTCTGGGTACCTGCAACACCAATTTTAAAGACAGTCCAGTATTGGATAGCATCCTTAAACTCATATTTTATGATATCACTTAACAATACTTATATTTTTCCAAGAATGATGTTTCTATTTTGTAATGTGATATGTCAGCTAGAAATGAAAACACCTGTGTTGTTCATGATTTGTGAAAAACATTCAAACAGTATATAAATGCATAAAATAGACATAAAGTTCTTCCTATAATTCCATGCTCCAGAGGTAACTACTAATAATAGATTGATGCATATCCTTCACAACATCTGTAGATATATATAAGCTTGTGCTATACATAGATTCAGAACCCTGGGTCTAATTACTAGGTACATAGGTTAGTGAGGCTGCTGAGGATGGTACAGTGGAGATATGGAAGGAACTTGGGTCTTGATGACATCACTGAGCCACTGAATTAACTAACCCTGGAACCTCCTTTCTTCAGGACTTATTATGAGATAATAAATGTTCCTTTTGTTTAAATCTCTTCTAATCAGATTTTGTTGCTTATGTCAAAAAGTATTCTAAATCATCAAGTCATTCTCCTAGATGATTCAGAATTTCTATAGTAAAGGCAAGTATATACTTATATATGTCTTATGAAAATGAAATAATACACAATAAAGCATATACATAGTGCTGTTATAGCAAGCTAAGCCAGTAAGCCTTGAAATTCCTATCATCAAATAATTTAAAATGACTTCAGTTCTGCCAAACACTGTTATATAAAAGTTTATTTCAAATATGCATTATATTAAACTGAACCTTAAGCAAATTAAGAGCCTAGAATTCCTAAGGAATACTACATATTTTTTAAAAATGCCAGGTACATGGTTGCTACCCATATGTACTATTACTAATAAAAACATGTCACATTTATTGAGCATTTAGTATGTGGCAGTGCTGTGTTGAATGTTTTACACTGATTAATGTAATCGCCACAACAAACCTATAAGGCAGATACTGTTACATCCTCATTTTACAGATGAGGAAATTAAGGTATAGAAAGGGTAATTTTCCCCCAAATAAATGAGCTTATATGTACTGTGCTGTTTGTAGGTCCTCAGCTCTCAGCCATTCTTCAACCCAATCCAATCTGGCTTCATCTCACTCCATTCCTCTCTCCACTGAAATTGCTTTCAAATATAAGAAATTCATGAATAACGTCTGTTTTGGTAACTCAAAGAACACTTTTCAATATATCTGACCAATTGACAGCATAGGGTTTCTTCTTAGTTTTTCATGGTACTATTCTCTTCCAATTCTCCTCCCACTTCTCTGACCATTCCATCTTAGTCTTTGGACTCTTCTTCTGACTGATATTTAAGTGTTGGTGATCTTTAAAGTTTTGTCCTGCAACCTCTTCTTTTCCTCTCCACTCTCTCCACAGTTCATATCATTCATTCCCATAGCTTTAAATAATGATCTACTGATGATCCTAAATGTGTATCTCTAGCCCAGATCTCTATCCTGAGCTTCAAACTAGTACTAGAGTACTTCAAAAAGTTCATGGAAAGATTCATATTATCTTTCAATTCCATTTTTCCACAATCTTTTTGAAGTACCTTCCCATATCCAACTTCTCCACTTAGAGGTCTCAGAGAATTTCAAATGTAACATGTCCAAAGCTAACCTCATCTTCCCTTCTAAATCTACTCTTCTTCCAGTATTCCCTTCTTCTTCAGCATTACCCCATCAACTGCCCAAGCCAGAGACCTAGGAGTCTTTGCCTCCACTGTTTCCCACCCTCCATCAAATCTATCACAATTGATTCTACCTTTCAAATATCTCATGAATCTGCCATTTTTCTCCATTTCCACAACCATCACAGTAGTCCAAATTACCATCAACTCTTTGCCAGGGTTATTGCAGTAGCCTTCTATCTGATTTTGCATCTATTTTTGTCTTCTTCCAATACACTTTCCACTCTGCAACCAGGGTAGTCTTTTAAAAATGAAAATTTGATCATGTCATTCATTGACTTAGAACTCTTCAGTGGCTTACCATTGACCTTAGGATAAAGTGCAAAATCTTCAGCATGACTTAGAAGGCCCTACATGATCTTGTTCTAGTCTACTTCTCCAACCACATCTCTCATTTCATCTTTACCTCCACTCTAGCAATAATGCACTTCTTTCAGATTCTGTACAAACTCTATTCTCTACACACCACACTCCCCTTCACTTCCAGGCCTTCAAACATGCTATATTCTATTAGGAATGATGTCTTCCCCTGACACCAATATCCCAAAGTAGCTAACGCCTACACATCAGTAAGATCTCAACTAAGGTGTCATTTCTTCCCTAAACTCCCCAAACCAGGTTAGATCTCCCTGGCAACTAGATCAGGGCCTAATACATAGTAAGTCCTAAAAATATTTGTTGACTTGGCCAAGTGAAAAAGAAGACTAGATAGGAATGAAGGGCTCTGATAGATAGGAAGGTGCTCAACAAATACCGTTGAGTTAATGAATAAATAAGTGAGTGGAAAGAAGAAGGAAGATTTGTTTAATGAACAATTCTAATGTTTTCCCACTGTACCATTAACATATTTGTGGGAGTAATATGAGTGTACTTCAAAAAATTCATGGATAGATTCATATTATCCTTCAAATATATTTTTCCATTAACTTTTTGAAGTTCAAATCTATTTTTCCATGAATTAGTATTGGATATCACTCTATGAAGAGGAAAATGTCCAGTTTTAAGATTAGGAGGCAGTAGTTTTAAATTGGTTCCAACCTACAATGTTTCACTAAAATGTGTTCTCTATATAGATTCTATCATATTAAAAATTAATATTATAAAAATAAATAAATACTCATAAATCTGTGAACAATTGTGTGCCAATTAGTCTAGATGAAATGGACAAATTCCTAGAAACACACAAATTATCAAATTGATTCAAGAAGAAACAGAAAATTTCAGCAGACCTATAACAAGAGATAGAATCTGTAATCAAAAACCTCCCAACAAAGAGGTGTCCAGGATTAGATAGCTTCACTGGTGAACTCTGTCAAACATTTAAAGAAGAATCAACACCAATCCTACTCAAACTCTTCCAAAAATAGAAGAGGAGGGAGCATTTCCTAATACATTCTATGAGGCCCACATTACCCTGATACCAAAGCCAGCAAAGATACCACAAGAAAAGATAACTACAAACCAACATCCCTTATGAATGTAGATGCAAAAAGATTTATCCCAGGAACGCAAGGGTGGTTCAACAAAAGAAAATCAATGTAATACGTCATATTAATAGAACAAAGAGAAAAAAAGCTACATAATAATCTCAAGAGAAAAAAACACTTCAAACAATTCAACGCCCTTTCATGATAAAAATACTCAGCAAAATATTGAACATGATAAAGCGCACTTAGAAAAAACCCACAGCTAACATCATACTCAATGGTGAAAGACTAAAAGCACTAAAAACAGAGGGTTCCCATGTACCCTTTGCCCCTAAAATCAGAAACAAGACAAGGATGTGCACTTTTTGAAATTCGAGAGAGGTGATGTTTGAACAACATTATGAATGCACTAAATGCCACTGAATTGTATACTTTAAAATAGTTAATTGAATGTTACATGAACTTCACCTCAGTAAAAAACAATATAATGTATCATTTATTCACTTTGGCTATGTTAACAGGACAATTAGCAGAAAAGAGACTGTATTATAACACCATAAAAAGCAAATTTTATTTACAATTTAATATAAATGTAAGATAAAAGTCAAATGAAAAGCCTGAAAACTACTTTAGAAGAGCCTGTAAATTTTCCTCTCAAAGTTAGAATGTTCTTTAAAAAAATTGGAAACCAGATGGGATTTAAAAATCAATTCTGCTGCAGCAAAGCAAAGCAATCATAACTGTAGTCAATGTGTTTATATTTCCTTCAGTAATGTTTAGAGCAGGGTTTCTCAAAGTGGGAACTTGTTAGAATGTGAATTCTCAGGCTCCACCCCAAATCTACTGAATCAGAATCTCTGAGTGTGAGGCCTGGCTGTTTGTGTTTTGATAAACCCTCCATCTGCATCCTCAAGTTTGAGAACCACTAATTAGGAGCAATAAGCACAACTCTTGGATAAGGAGGCTGCTACAAGCATTTTCTTACCAGAGAGTTTTGACGTATAAATGTTGTACTGTTTCTTCTAATTCTTAATGTGTCACCTTGGAACACCTGTGCATTATCACTAAGAAGAAAAAGAAAACACTTGTCACATAAAATCTGTTACACAATTTTTTAAAGAAATAATATTTCAAACACTTAAAAAGCAATGCCATTAATGTAAATGGCTTCTTGGTGGAGACAGCTGTGCATATGTAGAAATTAGGACACACAAACACACACACACACAGCCTTAGCTGGCTGAGCCTAAACAAGTTTCCATGTAAGGTAAGGAATTCTCAAGCATGCCATTTTACCTTTAATCATGCTACCAAGAATAAATATAATTTATCATGACCTTGGAAATATATCATTTTCAGTGTAAACCTGTAACTGACTTAAATCTATGATCAGAGTTACAATGTGCAAGCTCTAGTTCTCTCTCAACTAAACTTGCTCATGAACAAGAGTGATAACCAATAGCAGGGGTCGATAGAACTGAGATTTTTCACAGATACGTTTTGTTTGGCCTACATGGAGTTAAAAATGTTTTTGAGGTGGACTAATGGGTACAAAACTATGCTACCTACCCTAAGTGAAGCATTGTGTGGTACATGCATATATTGAAATGACATATTGTACCCCCAAAATATGTACAAGTGCTAAAATAAAATATAAAAAATGTTTTCGAATTTGTCATGCATACTAAGAGATTTCATGTAACAATCTAGATTCCAGAATTCCAGCTTCTGTTAAAAATTTGCAAGATTTTGCAACACTGGGCCACATTCCCACACGGCAACAATGGACTGAAGCCGAGCAACCACTGCCCACTGAAGATGGCATCTAGGTCCTCAGCTTTGATGGTTTCCCACACAGGTGGCCTCTGTCCTATCTGAGCTTATAACCCTGTAGAAGTAATCTTTTCAAGTTTTCTTTTTATTATAATTTTTTATTCTGAAACAGTTTGACACATGGAAGTTGCAAAGAGAACAGAGGGTTCCCATGAACCCTTTATCTAGGTTTCTTCAATGATAATAAGGAATCAGCTTTAAGACTTTATTTTTTGCTGCCTATATCCAATCGGGTGCCAACCAGTCTTTTAGTTTTTACCTCTATACTCTCTCTTACATCCATCTTATTCTTTTCAGGCTACTTGCCAAAGACCAATCCAAAGCTTTCTTTACTTTTCCATAGACTCTGCAGTAGTCTAACTGATTGGTCTCCTCAACTCTGTTCTTTCCCTTCTTCAAGCTATCCAACAGACTACTAGAATCACCTCCCTAAAGAACAGCCTGCTCTCCTGCTCACAGCTTTCAGTGACTCCGCATTGCCTGCCGAATTCAGTTATGTTCTTTACTATGACATTCAAAGCCCTCCACAATTTGGCTCCAGACTTTTGGATTTCATGGACTAGTAAAATTTCAAAAAAAATCTAGGCACAAACATGCACTTACTACCTTTTTCTTTATAAAAGTAGGGGACTAACAATCTCAGAGTACAGTATAGTCCTGCTCAGGAAAGGACAATTAGCAAATATATATCAATATATTTAAGTATGCTGTACTTAACTCTTTTGAAAGCATGGATTGGTGAAAACTTCACCTGGGATTAGCACTGGTCAGCAGATGAACATTTGGAAGCCAGTGGTCCAGGCAAAGTTGACCATTCAGCTTTCTGGAAGACACCTGTGATTTCCTGCCTCCAAGCCTGTTCCGTATACTTGAAATGCTATCCCAGTCCCATCTGCCAATGTGCATCCTATTAATCCATTAAGGCCCATCTCAAGTGCCACTTTCTCCATGAACGTTTTCCTATCCTTCACCAATCCCACTGTAATTTCTTACTCCTTTCTTTGAATTCCTCTAGCACTTTCTTTACTTTCCTAAACACTTATCGTACTCTACCATACACTTAAGTCCTTTTGAGTATTTATCTTCCCTATTAAATTAAAACCTTATTGAGCCTTGAGATACATCTTTGCAGCATGGTAATTTGCATATAACAGACGGTAATTCAACATTTTATGAATGAGAGGACATATGGCTGGATCTAATTTTTACTTCCTTTCCCAGTCATTTTCCCTATGAGAACCGAAATACGTTCTGGCAGTCCCTTATAAGGAAATTGGAAGGAAACTAATGGGTTACATATTTCCACTATCTCTTGTGTATCTGTGTAGGGGGCCTATTCTTAGGGCTGGCAATTATATTCTCCCCTAAATTTTTGCCTGCCAATTTTATTTAATAAGACTACAACTGAAAGAAATAATTGAGGCAGCATATACTTCAATTTGTATGAGTCATCTAACATAAATTTGTGAAACCCTACGTGATATCCAGAACTGAGTTGTTAAGTACTACTTTTAACTTGGAAAAAGTGAAGGTAATATAATGAGATGGAAGTTCAATGCTCCACATCAAATGATCAGTAAGCAGCTTTGTCTAAACTACAATATATTTATGTCCATCATATTCCCAAAACAATCATTTTTCATGGCCACTATTACACTTATCCTTTTGTAAGAATTCAATAAACCAGATGGTAGGCAAACTTTTTCTGCAAACGGCCAGATGGTAAATATTTTTGGCTTTTTGGCCCATACAATTTCCTTTGCAACTACTCAACTGCCATTGTAGCGGAAAGTAGCCATGGGCAATAAGTAAACAAATAGGCACAGTTACATTCCAATAAAACTTTATTCACAAAATCAAGCAGCAGGCTGGATTTGGCCCTTGGGCAGTAGTTTGCTTTTCAAATGGAATTGAGATGGTAACAGTTTAAATGCAGGGTCAGGCTAGAAGTTTTTATTTATTTGGCCACTGGCTGGTATCAGGACCTTTAGAGGTTTTTTTTTTTTTTTTTTTTTTTTTTTTTTTTTTTTTTTTTTTTTTTTTT